TGATGGAGTGTGGCTCTTAACTTTCTTCTCAGCAGCAATCCTGGTCTAAGGGCTTCTGTCCCTGCCTCTCTGCTTCTCCTGCAGCAGAGCCGACTTGATTGCTTGTGGCGCTGGGCTTTTGCCCATATCGAGATGCTGATCCAGGTTTAAATAATACATCAGGCAGGACTGGTTTTACAGCGCAAACAGTTTTACCCAGCAGTGATGCAGGGATATAAGAAAGCAAGAGAGAAGAGGGGTGAAAATGATTTAAGCTGAATTTCGTTAAATTGCAGCGGGAGTCAAAATTAAAGCACTCACCGGCCGCGCCAATGCAGGGAGAATGGGGTGTTGTTTCTGTTTCAAATCAGATGCGTGTGTAGTCTGGGGGTGCCAGTTTAGCTTATGTAAAGGAGAAGCCTTCATTATAAACCTGAGAGGCCACTTTAATGAGCTGGTTTAATCTGACGTAGCTCAACCGATTGTGATGAATGTGGCACAGGCGCTGCTCTGCTGCCTGGGGGACCAGGTCTGTATCCCCCCCCCCAGCACCCCTGGGTGCTGGCATCTTGTGTGGGTGTGTGCCCCACAGTTTCTGCAAGGATGCCTGGACTGGGGGGGATACACACTTGTCCCATTTGTCTTGGTGTTTTTCTCCGCTCTCTCCATTCTCCACATTTTCTCCAGCTGGCTGGCTCTGGCTAACAGCTTCGGATAGAGGGGTTTCAGGAACAGGCAGCTTATTCCGGAGACACAGCAGCTCTAAATTACTGCCAACAAGATACTCTTTCACCTGAGTCATGGGTTTTTCCTCCTATGATATTCATAACAGTGTCTTCTTGTGCTACTCTATCATTTAGGGGGACAGCCTTCCTGCTATAAACACGCTGCTTCCCCCTTCCCCCAAACACCTTTTAACTCCGACAAGGTTAAAGCACGGCATTCGTATTCTTAATCTGTCAGGCTGGAGCAAACAGAGTGATAGAAAATGAAGACATTTTAGTGCCACCCTAGATTTCCTGAGTAACTCCAGGAAGGTTATTGTAACAGTAGAGCTGATCAAATACTAAATAATACTTTCTGCTAAAGGTTGTTTTCAAATATTCATTGCTATTCCAAGTGATGACTCTGCTCAGCCACAACTCACGCTTTGTCTACTTATTTGTTTGCTATTTGAACATCTACCTAAAGGGACTTTTCTTGCACAAATATTGGGGGAATGGCTGTTCTTTCTACTGATGCCCCTGTTCACCTGCAAGCAAAAGTATTTGAGGAGAGGCAAAAAACACACCTGGTCTGTTTAGGTGATGCTCTAAATTGGGATTTATAAGGCAGCATACGACCATAGAGGAAGAAGGGTCCACTGTGAAGATCTCCCAGGTGAGAACTCACCTGCTTTTACAGGTTCCAGCATCAGACCAGGGAAGAGACTTGATATTATTTGGTGGGAAGAATACTCAGTAGGGGAGGAGGAGCGTGTACAGGCAATCGAAGATGCAAAGGTCAAAATCAAACTGATAAGTCACAATCAGGAGAAAATCCCTTATAAATCAGCAATTAATGTAAGCAGCGCTGGGGAGATGGAGGAGGGGAGATGGTATATTGAGGGAGAAGGTTGGTGAGTGGGAGAATGCTCAGAGGGTGACTGGAGACTTTCCAGTGAGATACAAATATTTTTTTCTTGTGGGCTGAAGATTCACATAACTACTGAAATCTGCAGGGTGGTCACTGGGTGTTGTCCCAGTTTCTGGTGGTAAATTTATGCCACCAAAAGCCCCAAAACATTTATCCTCCTCCTTTCACACAAGTCTCTGCCGCATTCAGATAGGGGTGCAGGACAGACTTCATATTCTTCTCCTCTGCCACCTCTCCTGTTCACACTCCAAGCACCTCTCCAGGTTGGGGCAAAGCTGCATTTCCAAGATGCACATCGTGCTCCCTGCCGGGCGCAAGACAGGCATTTCCAGTCTTTGTGCTCTGGGCTGCCAGAACAGTCATATTTTTTTCCAGGAGTGCTAAATTCTTTCCAAGACTATTTAAAACAAACAAGCAAACAGTTTTGGTTTTGTTTTTTTTTTTTTTTTTTTTTTTTTTTTTTTTTTTAAAAAAAAAAAAAAAAAAAAAAAAAAAAAAAAAAAAAAAAAAAAAAAAAAGTTCTAGGAAAAATATTAAACCCTTTAAAACAAACAAGCAAACAGTTTTGGTTTTGTTTTTTTTTTTTTTTTGCTAAGCACTTACTGTATTACACAGGCCCAGCGGCAACTTTTTAATGACAAATATTTCCTAAGGTTTCTGTTCACGCTTGGACACAGCGATTGCATACAGAAGCTGCATTATGCATACATCGGACCAAGCATAACAGCACCTGCTGCTGCTCCTGCTGCTACTAAAGAGAGAGCAACTAATCTCTTTAATTATTGGAGAAGAATTAAGGCTTTGATTTGTCTTATTGCAGGAACGTAGGTATGTCCCCCCTGCAGGCTGGGGAGGAGATGCTCTTTGCCTTCCTCTTCTGCTGCAAGAGGGGCTTCAACCGTTGGGTGGGTGGCCTCCGCTGGCAGCACCTGAGGAAGAATCGGGGTTGTAGGGATGCTCACCCCTCCATTATCTCTACAGGAGCTAGCACACAGGGGTTTTATCCCACATTGGCAGCCCTGTGTGCAAGGCAGAGGGGCAGGTTTGCTCCCTGGAGCTGTGGTAGAAGCGATTCCCTCAGGTCCCATGAATGGGGGGGACAGACTGAGGGCAGGGTTAAGCTCTCACTGGGAGCAAGGTGACTGCAAATGGCAGCAGGATTATCTGGGCACTGCTGGAGCCTGCTTGTCTGCACGTTCTGGTCGCGCCGGGGAGCCACAGGAACCGCCGGCACATCGGCTGTCACCAGTCAAGAGATGGGCTTGTCATCCAGCCAGCACATCTGCTTCCTCCGCCTGGGAGGAAGAGGTGGTGAATTGGGAGTAGAAAATAATCACGGGGTAATTGTCTTCTTGATGAGGATTTTGTAGCATGTTGTTAGGAGGACCTTGCTGGCCAGATCCTGCAAAGGGCAGAGGGAGTCAGAAGAGCTCTTGCAGGACAAGAAAGGGTCTGTTGCCAGTCCCCCCCAAGCTAAAGCTGGACCAGACTGGGCCATGGTGGTCTTCTCTGAAACACTACCAAAATTTGGTGAGCCTCCTTTTCTAAACTCTCCTCCCAGTCCCCTTTTTATCCCCCTTCCAGACCCTTGCCTCCTTGTCAGTTTTAAAGCAAGAGGAGAGCAGCCATGGAAAAGAGCAAAAAAGATCCTTTCCATCCTTTCAGCTCCCCACTGCCCTCCCCTCCCTCCCTCCCTTCCCACAAAGGAGCCGTAAGTATTCCTCTGTACCACAAAAAGGACCCGCCAAAGGGTCTAGGACAGAAAGGGTTAAACTCAGCCGAGCACTAGCTCCAACACAGTTAATCCATATAAAGCTCATGGATTTCTCTGCAGTGATCTTTGTGGTTGTCATTTGCATTTTTTTCCTTTTGTGAAATCTTTTCTTCTTCCCTTTTACACTCGTATGCATGCAGAAATTAGCATATTGTACCGAGAGTGGGAGATGTAAGAAGCCGACCCCCTGCTGTTCAGCGGATTGTGCAATCTGCAGGCGGCATCAATTTTTCAGCAGTTTTCTCATTTCTCATTACAGTCAGGGCACCGCAGAGCTCCCGATTCAACACAATCCCTAGTGGTCCTACAGACAAGCATATGGGCTGTCGAATATCCGTACTGCTACTTTCATTGCATTAATATCCTTGTTTATGCTTCCGCCGTAATTAATCCTGGTATTAATATAGTTTGGGCTTAGCTTTACTAATTATGTATGGGCTAGCGGGATAATTATGTCAGCAGACTCTGGCGGTGATACTTGACAGCAGTTTGCTAACCTTAGGAACGGCACATAAACACTTTGGCCGATCCTGCCTTGGAAACAAGGAAGGCGAAGAGAGGAGGAGGAGGAGGAGGGTGGGCATGGCGAGGCCATGTCTGATAACTATAAATAGTGGGTTTGGAAGAAGGGAATTTCACAAGCGCGATAAAGTTGTCCTCGGGTATCAAACTCCGCGGTTGTCATAGTGATGTGTGCATTATTAAGAGGGTGTTGTTCGCTCTGGCATCTAATCTCATAATGAGGACGGCTCATTATCGGCCTGACGAGAGTCCCTTTCCCCACTGACCGCGCCGCAGCTCGGCGGGTGCTTGGGGCCAAGGAGAACTTTCTCCCCGTGCTCCTTCCCTGCCCTCCATCCCACCCCACCCCGAGAACCTCGGCAAGCCCTCAGCGAAGCGCAGGACTAATGGACACCCAGTGCTCGGCGAGCCATTTCCCCATTTTCCTCTGGTTTTGAGCATGCCTGTGGCTTTAATGGGTACGAAAAATTACACTCTGGCCACTTCGGTCTCTTAGGCTCTCCCTGGCTCTTGTCTTCATTAACATTGCAGATTGGGGAGTTTAAAACGAGCCATTGGTTTGCTTTTATTTCTGCACCTGTTTCTGGTGCCTGACTGTCCCCGGCAAAATATCCTTCAGGGGGGTCAATGATACCCCTTCGCGTGGGGCGCATGGCTTAATGGAACTTCCTTTGCTTATCATTAGCCACTTTGCATTTTTATAGGGCGCTATTAACCGGGATGCAGGCTCGCTTTTAATTCCCTTCTGAGGTTTGTACACAGCGGTCGCATCCCTCCCCCTCTCCCCAAACAATCCAATTATCACAGTTTGTCACACAGGCGCGGGTGACCCACACGCCACCTGCTCCGCTGGCGGGCCCGATCCTCCGGGATGGCAGCCAGGCAGGGGACTTCGAGTTGTGCCTCAGCGGGACCTTCTAAATGCCTTTTAAAAACATATATCTGCTTTTGTTGGCAAAACCAGAACCAGGACCCGAAATCGGCTGTGAAATTGCATTGTTTGAAGGTCTGAGATTTGAGCATGGCTTAAAAGAATTTCATTCTTCCCTTTCCCCCTCTTTTTTTTTCCTTTTTTTTCTTTTTTTTTCAGAAATAGATTTATGTCTAGACAGGCAACCTGTGTATTGTTCCAGCCAAGCTAGGATTAAAATGACCCTGGCGATGCAAGGATCAGATCAACTGGAAAGTCTGAAAAGTGGGAGTTAATGGGAGTGCTGCTGTCAGCCTTCTGTACAGGTACGTGGGTAAGCGTGAGGTCAGAATTAAGGGTGTGATTAAATGTCATCATCTTCAATTGGATTTATCATGTGCTGATGCGTTTTCCTGAAATGGCTCCCAAATCTTTATCCAAAGACATGGGTGGAAATATTCCCCATGTCCTCAGTTAATTTTGGAGCAGCCCCTTTGAGCTGTGCCATTAAACTCCCTTTCCTCAGCCTCTTTCTGTGTGATTTCAGCCTCTTCCCAGCACCTTCTGGCTCTTGGCCCTGGGGCCCCTGGCTCCTACTCTCCAGTGGCTGGGCCACCATCTTAGAGCATGGGTCCTGCTCCCAGGTCTATTTCTTTAAGTTAAAGGGTCACTTGCTAAAACGCAGAACCGGTCCTAACACAAGGAACTTCATCCCAGGCCTCCTTCCTCCCAGGCAGAGGTTGCAATTAGAAATGATAGAGCTGTGTGCTCTCTCTGGTCCTGAGCCCTGAGGACTTCTTTGCCCAGCAGCATGCTTTGGAGAAGAGTACAGCCCAGCCAGAGTGGCGATTGTGCAGCCTCATGGACAGCATGGCATTGGGCTCAGGTACCCAAAGAGATGCTGAATCCATGCTTTCTCCACAGCTTCTTTCCATTTTTATTTTCTTTTTTTCTTTTGGCCATTGTATTTCAACTGGAAGCAGTGGGGTCCCTCCAGTAAGGATTTCATTTTGCATGTTCTCTTTGTCACGCAAAAATCAAAGAGAATTTTGCACGTGACTAAAACAAAGGGCTGGAAGAGTCCCTCAAGGTATAGCTAGAAGGTCCTGGATTCCTCTATCAGTCCACAGGAGAAATCCTTCTGCCTCAAAGCAGTCACCTCCAAGGAAAAATCTGTGTGTTTGTGTATCTAGACTCCGGAGGGAATTTGGATAAACCATGGAACCATGAAATACTATAGGTGTGGTGAAACTGGCCATGTAGCCATCAACTGCAACAAGACCAGTGAAGTCAACTACTGTTGCTGTGGTGAGTCAGGGCACCTTGCACGCGAATGCACAATTGAAACTACAGCCTAATTATTTCCCTTTGTCCCCCCTCTCCTTTTCCTGACTGGTGGTTGTATTGTTTGGATGGAATTGTATGAACCTTTTACCTTTTCCACAAATCCCAGATTTCCAAATCTTGAGATCCAGATTGTCTGAAAGTTATGTGTTGTTTAAATGCTGGACATTCCTCTCAGTTCTGTATCATTTGAAGGCTGAGTGAGTAGCAGAGAGGAAAATAAGAGAAATGTTTTAAATATGTGTGACTGGTAAATGGACTGACATTTTGTCTTGTATTTCAAAAGGCTTTTTCTACTGGGAAATTAGTCTCTACTCATAGTGTTGTGATAATCCGCTTATAGTCCAGTTCATCAATATCTTAAGTACCCACATGCTTTTCCTCTACAACAAAGTAACTTTGTCATTTACGTGCTGATTGTCAACCATCTCAAGTAAATTGCCTGGCAGAATATGGGTGAGTTTTAGACAGCTGTGTATATTTTATTAGCATAGACTAAGTAGTGCTATCAGTAGTTACATTTTCCAGTTACCAGGAACTTGTTAAACCCCTCAGAGAACAATGACATTGCTCTCTACCCTTGCAGGATCTTGCAGGACGACACCAGATGCTGTAGGGAAAGGATCGGGGAACACGGGCACCAGCATGAGACCGTGGCTGCTCAGCAAAGGTCCACTGGCAGAGTGAGAGGTAATAAATGGACAGGACAAGGTACAAGCATCTTTTGTTTGGTCAATTCTTGATAAGGTACATCAGTCAGTAAACTTGGTCCTTTTGGATTCCCTGAAATAGTGGAACAAGTCCTCAGCTTTCCGTGCTGGTAACTCACTGACTGCGGAAACAGCTCGTGGGGCTACAATCACAGATTGCTGCAGGAGCTCCAAGTGTAAATGGTTTTAGCAAATTTTTGGGTAGAAACGGGGAAGATGGATCTACTGGTAAATAAAACACAACCTGAGACCCAGGGAGTGCCTAAACTGCTGATAGGCAGAAGCTGAGAGGGCGTATCAGGGAAGATCTTTGTATACAAATGCTATTTCTGTTCTTTCTAAACATCTGCTTCTAACCACTGTTGGAGAGAGGCTACTGGGCTGGCAAAACCCTTGATTTGATGCAACGTGGCCTTTCTTAATCCATTTTAGGGTGCACTGTTATATACCCGTTGCTTCTGGCTGTGTGGCATTCCCTCTGCTGCAGGTAGTACTGCAGACTCCTGGGCAGAGATCAAGTCCCTTGCTCTCCATCGAGCTTGCTCTCTTCCTCTGGAGTCTTGAAAAGCATATCCTATCAAACTGGTGTGGGTATTAGCTTGTTTTCCATCACTGCTCTGGGTTACTACAACAAAAACACAGGGGAGCAGAAACATAAATGGAGCATGGGAATTTTTTTCACCTTCTGGCTCTTGGCCCTGGGGCCCCTGGCTCCTACTCTCCAGTGGCTGGGCCACCATCTTAGAGCATGGGTCCTGCTCCCAGGTCTATTTCTTTAAGTTAAAGGGTCACTTGCTAAAACGCAGAACCGGTCCTAACACAAGGAACTTCATCCCAGGCCTCCTTCCTCCCAGGCAGAGGTTGCAATTAGAAATGATAGAGCTGTGTGCTCTCTCTGGTCCTGAGCCCTGAGGACTTCTTTGCCCAGCAGCATGCTTTGGAGAAGAGTACAGCCCAGCCAGAGTGGCGATTGTGCAGCCTCATGGACAGCATGGCATTGGGCTCAGGTACCCAAAGAGATGCTGAATCCATGCTTTCTCCACAGCTTCTTTCCATTTTTATTTTCTTCTCATCCTTCTTCTGTGTGATTTCAGCCTCTTCCCAGCACCTTCTGGCTCTTGGCCCTGGAGCCCCTGGCTCCTACTCTCCAGTGGCTGGGCCACCATCTTAGAGCATGGGTCCTGCTCCCAGGTCTATTTCTTTAAGTTAAAGGGTCACTTGCTAAAACGCAGAACCGGTCCTAACACAAGGAACTTCATCCCAGGCCTCCTTCCTCCCAGGCAGAGGTTGCAATTAGAAATGATAGAGCTGTGTGCTCTCTCTGGTCCTGAGCCCTGAGGACTTCTTTGCCCAGCAGCATGCTTTGGAGAAGAGTACAGCCCAGCCAGAGTGGTGAATGTGCAGCCTCATGGACGGCATGGCACTGGGCTCATGTACTCAAAGAGATGCTGAATCCATGCTTTCTCCACAGCTTCTTTCCATTTTTATTTTCTTTTTTTCTTTTGGCCATTGTATTTCAACTGGAAGCAGTGGGGTCCCTCCAGTAAGGATTTCATTTTGCATGTTCTCTTTGTCACGCAAAAATCAAAGAGAATTTTGCACGTGACTAAAACAAAGGGCTGGAAGAGTCCCTCAAGGTATAGCTAGAAGGTCCTGGACTCCTCCATCAGTCCACAGGAGAAATCCTTCTGCCTCAAAGCAGTCACCTCCAAGGAAAAATCTGTGTGTTTGTGTATCTAGACTCCGGAGGGAATTTGGATAAACCATGGAACCATGAAATACTATAGGTGTGGTGAAACTGGCCATGTAGCCATCAACTGCAACAAGACCAGTGAAGTCAACTACTGTTGCTGTGGTGAGTCAGGGCACCTTGCACGCGAATGCACAATTGAAACTACAGCCTAATTATTTCCCTTTGTCCCCCCTCTCCTTTTCCTGACTGGTGGTTGTATTGTTTGGATGGAATTGTATGAACCTTTTACCTTTTCCACAAATCCCAGATTTCCAAATCTTGAGATCCAGATTGTCTGAAAGTTATGTGTTGTTTAAATGCTGGACATTCCTCTCGGTTCTGTATCATTTGAAGGCTGAGTGAGTAGCAGAGAGGAAAATAAGAGAAATGTTTTAAATATGTGTGACTGGTAAATGGACTGACATTTTGTCTTGTATTTCAAAAGGCTTTTTCTACTGGGAAATTAGTCTCTACTCATAGTGTTGTGATAATCCGCTTATAGTCCAGTTCATCAATATCTTAAGTACCCACATGCTTTTCCTCTACAACAAAGTAACTTTGTCATTTACGTGCTGATTGTCAACCATCTCAAGTAAATTGCCTGGCAGAATATGGGTGAGTTTTAGACAGCTGTGTATATTTTATTAGCATAGACTAAGTAGTGCTATCAGTAGTTACATTTTCCAGTTACCAGGAACTTGTTAAACCCCTCAGAGAACAATGACATTGCTCTCTACCCTTGCAGGATCTTGCAGGACGACACCAGATGCTGTAGGGAAAGGATCGGGGAACACGGGCACCAGCATGAGACCGTGGCTGCTCAGCAAAGGTCCACTGGCAGAGTGAGAGGTAATAAATGGACAGGACAAGGTACAAGCATCTTTTGTTTGGTCAATTCTTGATAAGGTACATCAGTCAGTAAACTTGGTCCTTTTGGATTCCCTGAAATAGTGGAACAAGTCCTCAGCTTTCCGTGCTGGTAACTCACTGACTGCGGAAACAGCTCGTGGGGCTACAATCACAGATTGCTGCAGGAGCTCCAAGTGTAAATGGTTTTAGCAAATTTTTGGGTAGAAACGGGGAAGATGGATCTACTGGTAAATAAAACACAACCTGAGACCCAGGGAGTGCCTAAGCTGCTGATAGGCAGAAGCTGAGAGGGCGTATCAGGGAAGATCTTTGTATACAAATGCTATTTCTGTTCTTTCTAAACATCTGCTTCTAACCACTGTTGGAGAGAGGCTACTGGGCTGGCAAAACCCTTGATTTGATGCAACGTGGCCTTTCTTAATCCATTTTAGGGTGCACTGTTATATACCCGTTGCTTCTGGCTGTGTGGCATTCCCTCTGCTGCAGGTAGTACTGCAGACTCCTGGGCAGAGATCAAGTCCCTTGCTCTCCATCGAGCTTGCTCTCTTCCTCTGGAGTCTTGAAAAGCATATCCTATCAAACTGGTGTGGGTATTAGCTTGTTTTCCATCACTGCTCCGGGTTACTACAACAAAAACACAGGGGAGCAGAAACATAAATGGAGCATGGGAATTTTTTTCATGCATGAGCATTGAAACCATTACTTATGGTGTATAGTTTGAGTCAGTGCAGTTTTAGGTTATCTGCTGCACATGTATTCGCCATACATAAACATCTGACAGCAATTACACTTTAGCGATCCTGCTGGAAATCAGATTCATATCTTCTCCCTGAGTTTATGAAAGGAACTTTTCAACTTTAAGACCCCAAATCAGCAAACCAATTATTCATATGTGTTATTTTAAGCATGTTCTTTAATCCAGGCTCACTCCTCTAAGTGCACCTCAAGCTGAGCAAGTAGGGAAGTGCTTTGCTCAGCCAAAGCAGGGTGAATTTTCCAACCACTGTTAGAAATTAAACAGCTGGATTTATTTTAATATTTCCAAGACTTTTTAAGGAATCCAGACTCTGATAAAGTGCGGGTTAATGAAGCCAATTGGAGGAGGATAATTCCAGTTTAGGAGAAACTTCTGAGTTTTGCCATTTGTTTTCATTCTTCCCATCCAACATGTGATGGTGATGAATGACGGGGTGCCCAGCTGGGGCACAGAAGGACAGATGGGTTATTGGGTCATCAACTCCCATTTAGAGCTGTGGATGACCCTGGGTTTTCCTTCCCAAGGTCGTAGCTGAAGGTAAGTGGCACCTCTTCACACCCAATTTAGGCAATACAGAATTTTCTCTCTTTTGATGTAGACTGAATAGGTGAATTTACCCACTTTTTTTTTATTCATCGCTACACGATGACCTTTGTTGCACACCAGGAGTTAATCTAGTCTGTGACAGCACCCCAGTATTTTCTCTCTCATGAAAATTTTCTCTTGGAAGGTAATTTGCCTTAAAGCTTTTGGACTTCAGCAAAGCAGAGAAGTCACTAAAAATGTCCCTTCAGCAATTTCTGCTCTAAGCATCTGGCCACTTTCCTGGTGATGTCAGTAAGGGTAGTGGGGGCCTGGGTACCACTTCA